TTTATAACCAGAACTCAAATTCTGTTTCAATATGAGTGGTTTCGATTATTCTGTTTTTCCTTAGCCTGTAAACTTATGAAGAGTGATGTTACGTTATTTTGCAGTTTAGGCAACTATATATACATACATATATATAGATATTATATATAATATTAAAACACGCCCTTCCTTTCAAGCTGCCCTTAAAATTAATTTAAGCTTCACTTGCTGCAAATTAGCAATTTATTTTAGCAACACTGTTTTGGCTTATTACCCCTCAAGATTGCTCGAAGCGAGAAATGGTTTATTGCAATATGCGTAATACGCATAACATATATACATACTATATATAATATGTTTATACATTACATAAGCATATATACATATATGTTTTTGAGTTGGTATTTGTATCTATGCATGTTCCAAAGTAAATTTAGTCATCAAGAAATATGAGGGAGAGACGTAAATTACACTAAACGCAGCACTTCCTCAAATTTTCTTTGCTTTATCTCCGCTTTGTATATCAATTTACAGGGGAAATAAGGCAAATTATTTTTTAGAATGAAAGTCTCTTTGACTATAGTACTCACACACAGCCGAGAATGAGCTGAAACAAGCTAAGTTTCAAATTTCTACTTAAAGAGTGATAAAAGACTTACAAATACATATACATTTATATATAATATAAAATAATAACATGTTTTAATAAAACAAATCCACGCATCTCATATGCATGAGAACATAAATTTCAAAACGAATTCACCTGTAAGAATTATAAATAAACACTTGGCTGATTCGCACTGCCAGGTCCACTGATGGAGGCTTGGAGCACAAGTTGTGGCACAGCAGCCGATGATTGCAAACACGATAGGAATTGAATAGTATAGAGAAGCTTATATCGTCACCTAAAATGCAAGTTTACAGGTGAGGAAAACGATATAATAGAAACCACTCAAATTCAAAGAAAAATTTAGGTTTGGTTATAAAATGGTTATATATTGTTTATGTATTGGTTATATCTGTGAGCGGCAGCTGAAAATTTTACGTTACATATATGTAACATGATATAGTGAATCATAAGCCATCAAAAACGCAATTTCGATTTTTTTAAATGATACGTGGTTTTGCATTTTAGGTGACTGTGTGCAATAAATGACTTTTTGCCTGCAGAATATGACATTAAAATAATAATTAACAAGAAAATTTAACAAAACTTCCAAAAATCACTAAAAAATTTTTAGAGACTTCTACAAATCAATAATTTTTAATATTATTCCCTCATATGATAGCTTACTTTTCCAAAGTATTTCCACCACAAAATCTTTTGCTACGCTTCACAAATTAGTTACGCATAAAGGCAGCCACATTTTCAAAAGAAAAAAAATTCTTTTGTTAAAACATCACCAAGTATTCCTACAGGGCGATAATTCCTTGCCTTCAGCGAATCCGCCAAAATTTTCCATATCGCCACATATATGTGTGTACATATGTATTGCACATGAGTAATTTTGTCTGTACGATCACATTTCTGTCGAAATTGTTGAGTCACCTTGAGGCAACCCACCGCATGCGGTAGCTGGTATAAGGCGTAACGAAATTCCGCCATATTGCCTCATATGTGTGCCACCGCTGCTTTATTGCCGCTAAGACATCATCCTCCGAGTGTCTGTGCTTACATGCGTAGTTCTAAGCACTTACGTATGTTGTTGAACACACGCGCCTCCGGCAGCCTTAACTGTTTACCAGTTTAGAGCCGACGGCTGGCGACTGTAAGCCACCTTCAACCACCTCTAAGAGTAAGGGCTCACGTCGCAGCTATGTGGAGTCACGTTCTGCGTATATGTATACAAGTTACTACATGCTTACATATACAAACACGGGTTTATGGCTGTATAAGCTCCGCCAAATTGTCTGGTTTTTTCCTTTCGAAAATTACTGCAATTACTTGTGCGCAATTTCCTTCGCAATAAGGTTGGAGTAAAATGCCGAAATGTCTATATTAAGCACTTACTTACGCTTACCTGTGTTTATGTTCTAAGCCAAAAATATATTTTGTGTGGCGTTTGCTGTGAGGCGCTTATAAATTGATTTACGCACACACGGAAATAATGAAAAAACTGTTTGTATAAATTCTGAATTGTTTGATTTCATTTTTTTTTTTTTTAAGGATGCATTGAGCTTAGTAATCCAGTTAGCTATTTACACTATAGAATAGTCGAAAAAGTCTTTTCGTATTTCTAATCAAAATTCAAGTTATTTTTTTTTTATAATTATAATGAACTTTAGTGAACCAAGTATGTACAATTTTGGTCGACAACTTTTTGCCATTTTTGCGCTAGCGACATCATACCATCAGTGTAAAACATTTCTGGTTTCTCGGCGGATAACTGCGACAAGTAATTTTCATAAGCTTCTCTTGTAGCCAACTTTACTCCATTAGGAGAATTCTGCATTGACCGAAACAAATGGTAGTCCGATGGTGCAAAGTCAGGGCTATATAATGGTGAATGCATCGAAACTTCCCAGCCAAGCTCTCCCAGTTTTCGCCGAGTTATCAAAGATGTGTGTGGTCTAGCGTTGTCTTGTTGGAAAACGAAGCGCTTTGTTTTGCTCAGTTCTGGCCATTTTTTTTCGATTGCTTGCTTCAATCTCATCAGTTGTTGACTAGAAACGCACCCTTACCTACATTCTTTGTATTCCTGCTCTCGGACGCTGGAAGTATAAGTCTCGTGCTAGTTCAGTAACCAGCATTAGTGGAGCGACAAAAGCCTTCTGACCCAGTGTGGAACACAAAAGGTTAATGGAACTGGCTCTTAGCGAGGTACACACTTCCGCAATGATAGATGTTCTAACACGACACTGACTCATTGTTACTCACGCGCTGCGGCTAAACATTTGGAGGAGGAGGCGAAGTAGATGAAGTTCAAACATCTAAACACTTTCAGCTTCACTGTCCAACTTTCGACTAGGGAAGAAGCATTTTGATTGTCATCAATAACGACGATATTTTTCATGCATATTTAGGAGTTCTAGGCATCACTATGTACAAAGCTCTCTAGCGGTCCAAATGGAATTATGCGCAGAATCTAAATATCAGCTTATTTACGCAACCTAACCTAACAAACCAATAGGACTGCAAACATCATTATATGAAACTCTCAGTTTGCCAGTTTGTATCACTAAAATATTAGCTAGTGTAGCTTCGCTCCACATATCCTTAATATTATATATGAAACCACAACACTTCCATTGAATTTGGCTTTCATATCTTTTTCTTGCCAAAAGCAGCTAATTTCTAACCATAAACTTCTTCAATTTTTGTGTTAATTTTCTAGAAATTAATTGGATACGCGTTAGATACCGATAGCTGACACCGTTTGTTCACGCTGATTGCGTGCTTTTATGTGCCGATTGAGATTTGCTCGTAATTTTTCGCACACAACATTTTTATTAGCCACTAAAGTTGCTGATTCATGCTCACACACACACATAAGTACATGTGCGTGGCTACAGTTGGGCCATACATATGAGCGCGCACGAGCACTTAAGCGCAGAAATTATATGAAATTCTTGTTTAATTTTCCAACGAGTAGTACTTTTGTTGTACGTGCAGGCGCACGGGCGCATAACTCATTTATAGCTGGCGTCTACTTAAATAAGTGGTGGGGTCTCAAGAATTGCAATTAACCGCGCGATAATGTCTACCGTTCGCTCACTGCCTTTGTGCGCGCTTAAGATATGTGCTTTGTGTAGGTGTGTGTGTGTGTGTGTGTGTGTGTGAGCCATTAAAAATTTGCCTGTGGCGTGCCTTATCGCGTTGCCTCGCTGCACTTGTACATTAATGTTGCATATTTTTAGGCGTTGCCCGTGTTTGCCGCGCGCGCGCTAGCTATGACGACTAGCCATGTATTGAGCGTGCACCTTTAATGCGAGCAATAAATGCATTTCTGTGCGCGGGACAGCGCTGATAAAGCAAAACGCACACAGCGCGCATAATTTATTATAAGTAGTGGAAATGCTAAAAGCTAGTTAGTGTAGTGGCGTTGGAAAAAGTAGCGCTATTAAGCGCGTAAAATTAAGTGAAATGTGTGATAAGAGTAATTTTGTCATTAGTAAGCTGAATATATTGCAATTTAAGTGGAATCAAATAATTTTCTTACCGCTTCATATATATTTATGACTATGTAGATATAAGTAACTTGTTTAGTATTTTTACTATCATTAATTTTTTTCCAAAACTATGAAATTTCTATGAAGAAATTATTTTAATATTATTAAATAAGTTAATTTCATCTAATCACCACCAACTATCAGTAGCCATTTCACTTCACTTTCACCAGTAGTTCACCCTCTCAGTAGCTCAACTCATCGCTCATCCATATAAAATATAATCACAAATATATCATAGCATGTTCTTAATCACAATAATCAATTACTAATATTTAAAAAGAAAATTTATCAGCCTTCCATCAAATACCTGTACATAGCATATTCATATATTAGAAATAAATACTCTCTCTCTCTCTCTCATAAGCTCCCCATGTGCTGACTAACCACTGCCCACTAATTTACATTCTATACATTATAATTAAGTTAATTAAAATCCCAAACCCTTGCAGCGACCACAATAAGCATCACCCATGATTCGCATGACCGCCCAGTAATCATTCCATTGCACAAACAAAAATCATCTTTCATTACAATTACCATAACCACTAATCAATAATCCATACTTCAATCATCTCCATAATCGTATAATCAACTCCGCCTTCATTTAACTGCTCACTACTAATACGTACATGTCTAACAATTCACATCCATAACTCCACTTCTTCAAGAAAAAACTTCCTCTTCCACTCATTCTCTGTATTGCAACATCAATCACAACAAAATCGTAGAAATCCTCATTCCAAATTCGAAAAGTAGTTGATCTTAAACCAAATAAAATTTTGGTGACGAAACCGTTTAGTTTGATTGTTGTTGTAATCGTATTGTGTTTTGTGTGTGTTTGTCTTTTGCAGGACGGTCAGCGCGGTCATTTAGAGGGTCTAGCATCCGTCTATTGTGAATTGTTAATGGCTCCCTTTGGAGATATTTTAAGTGCTTTAGAAAACGCTCGTCAAGCGGCGTGGGCGGAGCGAAGTCCCCTGAATCCGGCCGGTGGCAGTGGGAGTAGCGGTAGTGGTAGTGGCGTCAGTGGCATTGGTGGCCTCAGCGCCAGCACACACCACCGGCATCACGGTCATCGCGGCCATTCGAGCCAAGGTGGCCTGCCAAATAGTCATAGTCAGCCAATTTATGTGCCAGGAAAATACTCGGTATGTATGTGTAGACTAGTTATCTATGTAATAAATATATATATATTTTGAATTAGTTGAAAATATCACGATTCAAAAATCTACTGCGTTCTGAAACAGTCTGAATTCTGAATTTCTGAACTTTTATATATATATCCCTATACTTGTATGCTGTATACTGCCAAATATAAGTGGTTCCCTGTTAATATTTCCGTTAACCATATTCAGTATTCCAACACAATTCTTTATTTCGCACCATTCGAGAGATTTAAATGCTCGCGACCTATATTATTGCAGCAATAAATAAAAGTAATTCATTTTCTTTCCGCAACAACAAATATACATATATTATATATAAAAAATATCAGAAAGTTCTGAACCCATTAGACTTATAGATATATATATGTATAAT